ATTACAGCCCTTTCCTTTCCATCCATCCATGTAGCTACACTACTCTTATTTTCACTGATGGAGTAGTTTGTTATCTAGTAACTTTACTTTTCATCTTACTATCTTAAAATGGAACGATGCTTTCCTCCAAGCGCCTTCATTCTGATTGACAAGTTTGACTCTAACAGTATTTGTACCTCCACACGTCTCATGGATTAGAGTTGGCTACAGCATTTTTAAATCCTCGCTAAAATAGTATCACTTGCACTGGAATGACTCGCTGTACCCAGAGGACTCAGATTTGCCTTAGAGGGAGATTTCTGCAGAGTTTTCTGCCAACATGAGCATCTCTTCCCGAGTCTGATTTATCCTCCGGGGACAGAAACTACTAGTGTGAAAGGATAGGAAGGTTATTACTAAAAGGTTTATAATCACAGGGTTACAGACCCTCAAGTATCTATTGATTAAAGTACATCGTGAAGAGGGCCATAACCTTTACTGCTAGCAAGGTTGTCACAAACTAAACTTTACTTAATGAAAACCAAAAAAATAAGGGATTGCCTATGATCTAACTGGATATGGGATGCAGATTTGTACTTGAATATATTGTTTTATGTTGTGACTTTGCAAAATCAGACTTATATTACCATTATAGGTCCGTGGGGGTAAAGATTATTTAGTATTGGGACCCCAAAACTAACAAAAAGTAGTTGGAGGTGACACAAAAGGGACATTAGGTGTTATTTGTAAAAGCAAACTTACGAAAAAGGACATTTTAAGTGGTTAACCTGTTAAGCCCCAAGGTCCCCGCCGGCGGGTACCCTTGTTTTTTGTCGGGTCACTCATTACTGAATCAGTGAGCTGCATGAGACGGATAAGGACCGGCTACCAGCCGATACTGATTCCGGTGATCGGCCTCAAAATTGGCGATCGGAGCATCCCTAGCTGTTACTCATAAAATAGCTTTTGAAGCGTGTTTCTCTGAATGTTTTGTAATAACTTTGTCTTGTTTCCAGCAGGTGGAAGTCGATCGGCGGAGAGCACAGAAGGGACTCTTGGTGCCGAAGAACAGAATAACGGACCCAGGAAAAAGACCAAAGACCAAAGCATTTCTGCCAAGGAAGAGTCCACAACACCTCAGGAAGTTCCCACAAATGAACGGACACATCCCAAAGAGGTTGTGGAGGACGAGTCAGGGAAAGTTAAAGGGTCGGAGACTGACGCAGAGTCGAGGGAAACTCAGGTTAGCGACAGTACAAATGCCAAGGAAGATGATAGCAACAGGACATTGGTTACGAAAGCGCTAAAGGAGAGTTCAAACTCATCAGTGCCGACCCATGAGTCTAATAACTTAGAATTTGACCTTTCCAGTGACAGTGACAATGACTCCGTAACCAACAAGCCTTCCACACCAGAGAGTGAGAGTGAAGGCAAGACGAATAAGAAATCTGGGCAGGAAGAGGTCAAGAAAGACCATGGAGAAGGGACGAAGGAAGTGGAAAGTAACTGTAAAAGTGAAGGAGAAACCGGTTCTGAATCGGCAGAACCTTCAGGAGTTCTTCCACCAGACCCTGAGTTGGGAAATGGCTGCCCCGATAAAAGAGAACCAGAAACCGAGTCCCAGAACAGCGAACAATCCGGAGTCACAATGGGGGAAGAGCTGCTCGACCAGAGTATGGAGGACGAGGAGGAAGAAGATGAAGAAGAAACCGATATCGACCAGGACGATCACTTGATCTACCTGGAGGAAGTTCTGGAAAGGATCCACGGCGAGTACTACACAAGATACGAAGCCTACCTGAAGAAGGAGGGATCTGAAACGCCGGATATGCGCAAGATTGCCCCGGAGTTGAAAAGTAAAACACTGGAAGGAACGACGATAGTGTTCAGTGGACTTTACCCGACAAACTACCCGATGGAGAGGACCAGAGAGCACTACCACGCCAAAGCACTGGGGGCGAAGATCGGAAAACATCTGGTTCTGAACGCCCAAGATCCCAATCGGACGACCCATCTCATCGCAGCGAGAGCCGGTATGTAGATATGTGTGTATGCCGTTGAACAGGCAGTGGTAGCATTATCAAGGTCACATTTAACAATGAATTAGATTAGATTAGATTAAACTTTATTGTCATTGTGCAAAGTACAGGTACAAGCCAATGAAATGCAGTTAGTATCCAACCAGAAATGCAAGATGTGCTAAATATGATTAAATACAAGGTGCATATTATAAAAACTGACAATACAGGGAGGGAGCATTGAATGAGCAAACAATCTACAATATACAGATGTAAGTATTGACCCTCTTTGTCAAAAATGTACTCAAATAACACATTATAATAGCATATTATCAATAAGTAAAGTCCCCTATGGGCTTTGCTGTTGAACAGGCATACAAACTTTATTTTCATTTGTCTTAAACAACACATACAGTGTCAAAGACAACCAAAAACAGGTGTGCAGGTTGTCCATTTTTTTTTTGGACAACCCCCCCCTACAGAATAATACAAGATTAATAGTACAAACACATCTAACATGATCAATCACAGCACAGCACAACAACCACAACAAAAAAACACATAAAAAGGTTGAGATAAATGTTAGACATGGTTGACTATAGTAAATCTGTATCAATGTCAAATTTAACAGTGAATTGAGCTTTTTGATCAACAATGTACTCGAATAACACATTATAATAGATTTTGGTTGATTTTTAGCTTGACATAATATCAATAAGAGAAGTCCCAGTGGTAGCATTGTCAATGTCAAATTTAACAATGAATTGACCCTTTTAAACCTTTGTTGGTATTATTGCCGCTACTCGAAGCAATTATAGTTTTGAGACTTCGGCCCCATTTACACGGGAACGCAAACGAAACGAACCAAATTCGATATCAAAAAAGTCTTCCGTTCACATGGATACGGCTCAATAAACGTATCCCTTTACACGAGAACGCTCGACCCGCTGGAGACGCTGTAGTATATGCCGGGCCTGTAAGTGGCGCTGTACTTCCGCCACAAAATACACCAAAAGCAGCGAAGAAGACCTCCGAGCATGGTTGCCATGGTTGCCTGGTTGTCCTTCTGTTTATTCTCCGCGGTGGATTTAGCAACATGTAGTTCTCCATGTCCACTTGTTGCTGATGGTTGTGGTAGAGGAGCTGTAGATTTTGCACTAACATCAGTAGCAGTAGCTAGTACTGACCATGCTGCAGCAGAGGTGGGGAGAGGCGGGGCTATTGTGTCATCGTTGTCAGGAAAATGATCGTATAGGACGTACACACTGAGCCGTTTGCCCCCCCAGAGCATTCCGTCCGCAGATCTACCCACCTTGGAACCCGTTACCGTTTGAGGGCTCCGTTTCCGCGGTTCTGTTACGGCCTCGTGTGAACGAACGGGCTATACGAAAGAGAAAAGTAGCGGATACAACCCGTTTCGTTCCCGTGTAAACAGCACCTAACTGAAACTGGATTTGGACGATTGATTTTGATATTGAGAAACCTTTTCTGACCTGCAAATATAGTTTAGGCAGTTTCTTTTAGAAGCTATGTGCTATAACCTTTTGTAATTGGTGCAAGCCATGCTTTGCTAATGAGGCTACAATTCAAGAAAGGTCATTGACGGCTTGTTTAAATGCCGGGGTTTCTGACATATTGGCAAATGTATGTGTTTGAACCATTGTCAAAACTCTAAATAAGCAGAGATAATTGAGATTGAATGTCATCACAATTATTGTATTTCAGAGGTTAGGCATTTCCAGTGTCATGAGCTGTCGTTAACATATAAAAAGCAAGGTCTACAAACTGTAGGGACGTTAGTTAAATTAATGGCATCTCTGGAACAGCAACAATAGATAATGATTAGTTTGCATTAGCATGAAATGTAACAGTTCTGTCCCGGTATACAGACAGCAAACATTGAGGATGATATCAGTGTGCTAAAGTACTTGATTTTGTGTTTGGGATATATATTTTTTAAATCCTCTGGAGCAGAGAGAGGAGCTGTGGATTATTGTTATTGGTATGCATCAGTGTTTCTTAGGGTCAAAAACGCTAAACTCACAATTTTTAAAATGAAAGCGTTTAGTTTATTTAATAAAAGAGCATATGTTCATGTGAAAAGTGACAGTAGATATAGATTAGTTGCAATTTGGTGCTATATATACCAGGGTTTCCCACACATAGACTATACTTGGGCGGGCCGCCCAGGTATATTAACGGCCGCCCAAGTATATTTCGCGACCCATTTTTTATTTTTATTTATACGTTTTTTTTAGTATTTTTTTTTTTTGTATTCGTCCGTGACCACGACGCCATCTGCGATCGATTAACTTGTGGACAATGATCCCTCGCTCCCTTGCTCTGATCTCGCCTCGTTAAGTGGCCTGCCTCACACAGGGTGACTGGCTGTCCACATGATGTGGCCTGCCAACATGGCCACTGTCATAGAGATCATAAATCAAAGCCCTTGATTGGTCTCTGTGTGTCATTCAAGCTCGGGATAACCTCAGCTCAGGTGAGGTAAAGGACTCTCTGAGTGTTTAGATAGTTAACTTAGTCTAAGTTCTCAGTGGGTCTCAAACGGTGTGGTCACCATTTATGTAAACACATATTTCCATTTGAGAGGGTAGTGATTGGTCTAATGGATAGTGAGGTGGGCTGAAGATCGGAAGGCTGTGAGTTCAAATCCCGCCAGGAACACCTCCACTAGTGTGCCCTTGAGTGCCATCTTTACGCAAAAATGATTATACAAAATGAAAACTTTTTTTTTTTTTTGGCGCACCCCCCCCCCCCGCCCGCTGACACCACCCGCCCAAGTATATTTCAGATCTGTGGGAAACACTGTATACATATATTAAAAAAGATATATATGAACAAAATTATTATTATTATTTTTTTAAACACCTTGAATTTCAGGGGGGGCGCGGGGCTCCGTTGGCGGGGCGCAGCGCCCCTCCAAGATAATGGTAGGGGAAACACTGTATCCTATATATATATATATATATATATATATACATATATATACATACAATCAACGGACACATTTACACATTATGCACACATTAAGATAAAACACAACAATCAATATACAAAATAACAGTCACTTCAATATCTTAGGGAATGTACATAGTGCAAGATTGTCCATAGCAGCGTAAAAAGGTGTCTGGTGCTGGAACTACTAAATACTAAAAACTGTTAATATTTACTTCAATTATGTGGCCGTCTATGTTTCCTGTAGTTATTGAATTGCTCTTCTTACTGCACTGTTAGTGTACAGTTGTATTATTATTGTGCTGCTGTGTTTATTGTATTTTTGTAACTCTGGCTCAACAATTTCCTTCGGGATGAATAAAGTCCTATCTTATCTTACTGCTAGGTAATTGAAGGCATTTAAATACGTTACAGTTATATGGCAAAGCAAATCTGCACCAAGATTAGAATCAATTATGCTTGTTGTGAAGACTGGTTTGAACCAATTGGCAGGTTTGCACTAGGTCCCGAGATCTTCTGTTATACGAGCTCCTCACCTATTGGCTTGTTTTTAAGCCTTTTCATTTAATCGTTTATTTGGTAGGGACAATGCATGGTAATGAACACTTAAAACATTAAAATGTGTCAAGCGTAACAGTGCCAGATTTGAGCTAATTTCCATCCGCAGTCCCTCACATAAAGTCCATGTAAACATTTATAAATAAAACACATACTTTTAAAAGACTTAAAAATGTCAAAACTCAAGAAATGGTGTTTCTCAAGGATGGTGCAGTGGTGGTATGAATGTGGCTTTCTGTCAAACACCTGGATAGCTCTCTTGAACAGCTGTTCTATGGGTTTCAGGTTTGTGGCACAAGCAAACGGCCAGTTTGTCAAACAGTATTCAATGTGGGATAGAAAGAATCATACAGTGGAGGTATGACTTTGCAGCTTTGACACTTGAGAGAGGTCTGCACACTGGTATCAAAAAATGGATTTATGCAGCTTCAAAAATGAATGTTTCAAATGGATTACTTCCCTGAGACCGCTCCTTCCTCCTGTAATTAGAACCAATTGATTGACAGAAACACAGTTCGCTGCTTTCTGACATTAAGCATGAATGCTGGAGGCTGTTTGTGTTTTTCTCCACAAATGGGAAAGGGACTTCTATTAAAAAAAGCTGGTGAAATATGTATTCTTAGGAGGCCTGTTTTGCACAAAGTAATTTACTGCCTTGAGTAAACCTGTTTTTAAAAGAGGTTGAACGTCCTTAAGGGTCCTTATTTAAATCAGAATGTAAACTTTAATCCCATATTTACATTTAAATCTGTCACGTTTTCTTTCAGTGGCACTACGCAGTTCAGTGGTACAATATTCCAATGTTTTTAAAATTGAAATACAAACAATTTAACCACATTTTTCATTGATGCAAGCAATATTTAAATCAAGATAAAAAAGCTTAATGAAAACAGTTTTGGATATAGTTTATTTTTAAGACTTTTTAACATTTGAAGAGCTTACAGATATTTAATTCTTCTTTAAATGTGGTCAGACAATGCCCAAAGTATTTTAATGCAATTTGGATTATTGCTCTTTTCTCACATTATAACAGCATTTTGGTTAATTGGTTTAAGTTGATATATTATCAATTAGTAAAGTCCCCTATGGGCTTCCTTACAATGTCCTGTTCTAATCGATATTACTATCATCCCAGCTGCATTCATACATGATCTAGTCATTAACAAGATAATAACACCACAACAAAAGACCTCATCCCCGTCAGAGCACCTTCATCCCTGCTAAGAAAAAAGCTATTTTAATCCAAAGAGCCCCAAAAGGGGATTCACGCCGGCGTTGCTTCCAAAACTCGACTTTATCTTCGGAAAACAAGCACAGGAAGTGGCACTGTTGCCGTGGGAGACGCCCCGCTGTGAGCAGCACTTGGCAATCAGTCGTCTTGTTCATCACAACGAGAGGAAAATCTGCCAAACATGGAACAAGAGCAACGTGAGCAATAGGTAATAACGTAATCTGGGGAGTGTGGAGAGATGCTGAGAATAAATGGTTTCAGAACCTGCGTATTTGACAGGAATTCGCCTTGTGAAGTCTTAAGATTTATGTTGTGTTTTCTTTACTGCTGGTTACAGATATAATACAGCTTTAAAAAGAAAAACTCCTTTGGTTTTGGTGGACGCATTTGAGCATATTTAGTGCTTCATTAATACAAAAGGGTTGGCTAAGAGGTAGAGTTATTTACTGCTCTGTAATTATTAGGGATGCTCCGATCGCCGGAATCAGTATCGGCCGATCCGATCGAGTGGGCGGGGCCTATGCAGATCTTCCATTTAAAGTGATGTTTAAAACTCAGTTAATGGGACTCAGTTAATGGGGCTCATTCACACAACAACCAACATAATTATTACATTGACATGAAGTACATTATTGAAGTTTACTTTGGAGAATAACACGGGAGAAATGAGCGGAAGCGCTAGGGCTGCTCGAAAATCATAATCTCAATTATTTGGGTCAATAATTGAGATCACGATTATTAAAAACGATTATCCATTTACTTTGAAAACATCAATTTATTGGAGAAAACAAATTTGAACAGTGTGTTTTTAACAGTTGATTACCCTGAACTTTAAGTATAACTCAACTGAAAAAACAATTCATAAAACATTTTTAAATTAATAATCCAAAAATAATCGTTTTATTTCGATTACGTTGTTTTCGTAATCGTTGCAAGCCATACTCGTAATTGCGATTAAAATACGATTAATTGAGCAGCCCTAGGAATCTCTCTTTCTCTCTCTCTCTCTCTTCTTCTCTCTCACTAGAGAGAGAGAGAGATCGTCGAAGACTACTCTCTCTACTCGCTTAGCTCTTCTCTCCTACTCTTGTCTATCTCTCTATCTCTCTCTATCTCTCTTTCTTCTCTCTATCTCTCTCTCTCTCTCTCTCTCTCTCTCTCTCTCTCTCCCTCTCTCTCTCTCTGCTTCACACACGTTGCATACCGCTATTTTATTGTCTTTTTCGGACACCTTAAAATACTGGCAGACCGGCTAAGCCATTTTGGCGAGCTTGTTTTGCCGCATACAGAGAAAAGTGTCGTGTATTTTACGTCATGTGATCGGCTCTCGCGATCGGCTCTCGCGATCGGCTCTCGCGATCGGCTCTTGCGATCGGCATTTATAGAGAGCACCGATCGATGGGCAGAGAGTGAATATCGATCGATATAATGGTATATTTGGCTATTGTTGTTGTTATGATCAGCTTACCCTATTTAACACTATTTAAATATAATAATAAACTGAAGAATACTAATGTTTTATAACTAAATTGTGTTTGTTTACATGTAGGCTGCACGACAGCATGCTTCATTAGCCACTTAATGAAAAATAGCATTAGCTGCTGTTAATGTAAAATAGTTACTTATGATAGATAACAATTAGCGTGTACCGTAGATGCAGATAGCTTCTGAGTTTACCTTTTTAAATCAGACGCATACACACACAATTAGTTATCCATTTGTTTGTATACAGCAGATAAACAAATACAGGTACACATTCTAGAAATGTAAACACTGTACATTTTACATTTATATATTCAGTTTAATATTTAATATCCCATCCCTTATATGTATATATAATAACTTGCTTATTGTTAATTTGCAAATTCAACATGTACATTTTCTACTTTCTTGTTTATTTCTAGTCTTTTTCATTTGTATCGTACAATGCCATGTCTTTTTATGCTTCCGCAGCACACACGTTTCCACATTGGGATCAATAAAGTACATCTTATCTTATCTCAGTGGTTCCCTCCTGGGGGGCGCAGCGCTATTGAGTTGGGGCGCGTGAAGCTTGGGAAGAAGTTGTAAACAAACATTGTTTGCTCGTAAAATCAATCAAATTAACACATTTTTAACACAACCGGCAGTTAAAAGAAAAGTGGACGAGCCCACGACAAGCCTTTCAGCTATAATGCCCACAAAGTATGATGAGGAATACATCTCCCTTGACATCTAACGTGTTCGGTGCTTAGATCTCTCTCTCTCTCTCTCTGTCTGTCTGTCTGTCTGTCTGTCTGTCTGTCTGTCTGTCTGTCTGTCTGTCTGTCTGTCTGTCTGTCTCTGTCTCTGTCTCTGTCTCTGTCTCTGTCTCTGTCTCTCTGTCTCTGTCTCTGTCTCTGTCTCTGTCTCTGTCTCTGTCTCTGTCTCTGTCTCTGTCTCTGTCTCTGTCTCTGTCTCTGTCTCTCTCTCTCTCTCTCTCTCTCTCTCTGTGTGGACTTCACAGCCTTCAGGCAGATCAAGATCCTGATCTGCCTGTCGGGTGTTCTTTTCTCCATAATGACCGCCTCGCTGCACATTATCCCTTACATGTCTGATCACTGGTCTTAATTATTCAGCAGACCCAGAATGCAGTTGGGTAAACACAAACATACAGGTACAAATTCTACAATTGTAAATACAGGGTTACGAAATAAGGGCACACTGAGACCTGTACTTTATGAAAGGAATACATCCATTGATTGATGGCTAATAGATTTTGATTGCAAGCTAAAAACCTGGTTCTTGTTTTCTTCCACCCAGGCACAGAGAAGGTCCGTCAGGCTCAGGAATGTAAGCACCTCCATGTGGTGAACCCTGATTGGCTGTGGAGCTGTTTGGAGCGCTGGGAGAGGGTGGAGGAGACGCTGTACCCTCTGAAGGAGGACTATACAAAGACAACCAGGTAAATAATAATAAAGACTAAAATAACATTTAAAGTGGGGGGTTGCTGATAAAAAGCTAATCTAGAAAGATGTGTCTTTAGCTAAAGGAGATGTTTGATGAGCTGTGATGTGAAGCAGTGTCGGGCGAAGTGGAGGAATTTAAACGGCATGACGATATTGTAAAGTTCACTCCCATTTTTACAGAAGACTCACACAATGAAGTCTTGAATGCATATAATTATGAGTACTTAATGGCTATGTGAAAGCTAAAACCACCTCTTCAGGTCAGATAATTACTATAATTATAATCAATTTACTTTAATGCACCCTTAATTATGCTCCTTATATCTGGAATAAATCAGGCATGAAGACTTTTCTTTATTCCGCTGCCTTTTATAGAAAAAAATAAAAATCGTATTCTATTTTAAAATGTGTTTCTGTTCCGATTTTGTTTTTGAAGTACTCTGAATTGCCTCGTGTTGAAATAAGCTGTATAAATAAACTTGCCTTGCCTTTAAAAACCAGACAAAAACCATTATGCAATGTTTCAATATCCAAAATGTAAGATCATATCCAGTCCCATATCACAATATATCGATATAATATAGATATATTTGACAGCCCTAATGATTCAAATACATTAGACATATGAACCACTCTACATTAAAGGTCGCCTATTATGCAAAATCCACTTCTCCATGTCTCTTCTACATCAACATGTGTCCCCTCTTCTTCATGTCTCTTCTACATCAACATGTGTCCCCTCTTCTTCATGTCTCTTCTACATCACCATGTGTCCCCTCTTCTTCATGTCTCTTCTACATCAACATGTGTCCCCTCTTCTTCATGTCTCTTCTACATCAACATGTGTCCCCTCTGTTATGGAAATAATTATCATAGACGCTAAGATGTGACATACAGGACCAACCCTGACGTCTGTTTACCTCCTTTAAGGACACAGGCTGCTTCAGCCAATAATGTTATTGTTCCCATTCTGTGACCGGTCAATACTGGGTCACAGATGGTCTGTATTGTGGGTACACTGGGACACTTCCTTCTCTGTTGTCTGAGGACTCCAGGGCATGACATATGCAAGGCCATAAGTGGCGGAAGCTGGTAACTTAGTGTGCCCAAACTATCTAAAGCTATCTTATAAAAACATGTTGATGACTCTCTGTGGAACCAGTTAAATGGGCTGGCAAGAGAGAGGCTCTCCAGAATTAACGTGGCAACCCGCCCGGGCAGTCTCACCGTGACTGCCGTGACTTGTGATGTGAATACTCTGGTACCAACTCCAAATAAATCACAGTGGTTTGACATCAAAGCTCCGACTCTTCCCGTGTCTCCTTCCTGAGTCGGTGACTCCACTGCATGCTACACAGAAGTTTCCTCTACACCCTCTTCTTCATGTCTCTTCTACATCAACATGTGTCCCCTCTTCTTCATGTCTCTTCTACATCACCATGTGTCCCCTCTTCTTCATGTCTCTTCTACATCAACATGTGTCCCCTCTTCCTCATGTCTCTTCTACATCAACATGTGTCCCCTCTTCTTCATGTCTCTTCTACATCAACATGTGTCCCCTCTTCTTCATGTCTCTTCTACATCAACATGTGTCCCCTCTTCTTCATGTCTCTTCTACATCAACATGTGTCCCCTCTTCTTCATGTCTCTTCTACATCAACATGTGTCCCCTCTTCTTCATGTCTCTTCTACATCAACATGTGTCCCCTCTTCTTCATGTCTCTTCTTCATCAACATGTGTCTCCTCTTCTTCACGTCTCTTCTACATCAACATGTGTCCCCTCTGTGGAAAGAGACTCTGAAAGTTTCAGGAACAAAGATTCTCTCTCTTTTTGATCCATTTCTATAAAAACCTGTCTGAAAATGAGCTGATCAGATTTTGGCCACTTTATGATGTCATAACAATGTTTTGTCTTGTGTAACCATTAGCCAATCAGCAACCAAGGTACCCCCCCCCCCCCTATCACCTGAATCTCCTTCTAGAGCACCATTGAGTTCTTTGTAACCAAATGTCTCTCAGAGGGGCGTAGGGGAGGGGCTCCTTATTTTTATCTGAAGTAACAGACAGAGAATCAGCACTTTGGAAACGGCTGAAACAGAGGGGATTATGGGTAATGCTGCAATGATCTGTTTGGTGTTTCAGCCAATCAGAGACAGGTTCTGTATATATCTGAGACCTGTGATATATTGATGAAAAACAGTATAATAGGAGACCTTTAAAATCCGATGATTATTCTAAACCTGAGATGTTTTTTCTTGTCGTTTTAAAAGGAGCAACAGTCCAGCAGCTTTCCCTGATATTCAGGGTTCTCTGCAGAAGCATATTTTCCAGCCGGCTCCGATCCTCCTCAGATCCCAATCTGCCGCCCCTGAGGTCCGGACGTACGACCCCGTCACCGGGAAGCTGATCCGCCGGGGCCCTCAGGGGCAGAAGACCCTTTCCTACCTGCAGGGGTCCGGACCCTTCTCTGATCACAGAGACCCGTCAAGTCTCAGGTATGTGATGTGTGATATAATGATGAAATATTAACACCTTTTCCGTGGCAGTTAAACAACAGGAGTTTGTTGTATAGTTGCCAATTAATTTGTCAGTACTTCTTTTACATTTTATTGAGATTAATACACAACATGTACAAACAAAAGCAGAAAAAGAAAAATTAGACAACAGCAGTAACTTACAAAATATACAAAAAGCAGAATACATATGTAAGCTAACAATAATAATAACACAGACAAACAGAAATAAAAACGAAATAAAACAAACCCTCCCTCCCAGACACACATGCACACGCACACACATACACACGCACACTCACTCACTCACTCACTCACTCACTCACTCACTCACTCACTCACTCACACACAGGGTGTTCGCCAGAAATGTTGTCAGTACTTCTGAATATTAGGCCTTAGTGTGGGTCAAGCTCGAACACATTTCTACACAACTACAAGTCCCATAATGCAAGTTCAAAGCAATTTGATTTGGTCGTAATGGCCTAGCTGCAGCAGTACAAATGAATCAAATGTTCTTGAGTCACAGCTGTGAGGGCGACTCATCGTGTCTTGTCCGACACCAACAGGAGGGACGCGTAATGTTCGTTAATTAATTTAATTCGTCACTGATTGCTATTGATATTTAAGTGTATTATTGCTGGACTGACATATTGACGGTAATAGCACACGCCCTCTCCCAATGCACCCGGAAAAACCCGTGGGTGTAGTGCAGGACTTTAACCCGTAGATGCATAAGTGGGTATCTTTTGACCCGGTGAGGTGGTTTTCTTGAAGTATCTTTGTAATTACATTTTTTAATCATTTCATATTCCAGCTATTCCTCAAAAAACATGTTTTGGATATCATGCCATTCAAATTTTAAATTTAAATTTTAAGAAATTGTAGTTTTTGTATTTCTACCCCAAGCTTCCATAAGTGGGTCAAAAATGAACCGCATGCATTTTCTATGGGATCCTCTGGGAACCTTTGATTCTAATCAGCTGTTGCTGTCAGGAATACATTCACTGTAGGACACACAGACGACATCACAAGTGACACCTCTCAGGAAGATCATTTTACACAGCAAGATCTGATACCTGTCAGTATAATAATAATACATTATATTTGTATAGGGCTTTTCAAGGACTCAAAATCGCTTTACAATATAAGGGAAGGTTAGGGTGGGGGGTATAGGACTATCAAACTTGATCAACCGGCATGGATTGATGGGGGGTGGGCTATGAGTAGACAAGAGGAGAAGAGATGAGTTTTGAAAAGGGACTGGGATATTGTGAGGGTCTCAGAATAGCGGAGATCTTTGCATCGATATGTACAAAATGTTTTTTTTCAAAATGTAATTTTTTTTTAAAACATTCTAAATAGTGAACAATTAAATATAAAATATTTCTAGTGTGAACCAAAATATAATACTAAATATTATACAAGTGATTTTTCTTAACCAAAATAACATAAAAACACATATTATTCTAATACGGGTCCTTTTTGACCCACTTATGGAAGCGTGGTCATCTCGTGCATCTAAGGGTTATAGAAAGTAGTGAGAGTTATGCTCCTCTGTTTAGTATTGACAGTAGAATGGTATTATATCGGATCTTATATGTATTGATTTTTCCTCTGGGCCTCGTTTCCTCCCTGAACTGAAACAGCTGTTTTGTCGGTGCTGCACGACTTAATTTCCCTAAGTGGAGACATGCAGTGTCTTCAGCGCTCAACTGAGAAACCATAACTCCCAGACAAGCTTTTATTGTATGGCGATGAGGTCTTAAAAGGGTCTTAAAAAAGGTCTTACATGTGACTTCAGGATTCCTGCATATACCCTGCTCCTGTAGTGTCTTTATAAAGCTTGTGTGCATGTCAATGGTCAGCAAAGCCTAAAAAGAGTGAAGCACTAGAGCTAGTGGAATAAAAAGTCATTTAGGCGATCTCTCTTCACCGACTGTCCCGGTGGCTTGAAATGTGTTTTTAATAGAATATATCTACGATGTAATTGATTATCACAAGCTTAACATTGGCCCACATAATTCATGGATTAGTGGCTTTATGGAGTTTTCAGGGAGTTGCATAAACTTGGATTTTTAGCATCAAAGAAGATCTGTTTCATTAAGCGCTGCCGAGAGGAAGTAACCCGCATAAGATTAACATCTAATTGTTAATTAGAGACAGAGAATCTTCTCACTTCTTCAGCTCCAGCCTTCACTTTCTCACCCTAAACTCATCCTCTGCAGAGTGTGTGAGATGTGAGAGATGTGCTGATTGCGTACAGTGTTTGCAAATTAATGCTATTCCCGTTTCAAAATGCAAACAAGATAACAAACAGGTTTGCAAAAGCACTTCACGTAGAAAGAGGAAGAAAGACAATGAAAGCACTTAACCAACCATATAAAACCTTTTATCTTAACATGTAAACAGAATCAAAACTAGAATCAGGGAAATCATATTCGTAATGTATTTTATTATCTATAAAACTGCACTAAATCAGATCAGCATTGTGTTTTATGCTGATCTCTTTGTTATTCATTCCAACAGAGGAGCTTCATCGGGCCAGCAGGATGGAGCGGACGGATCGAGCCGAGACGACGAGCAGCCCGGTCCGTCTCGAAGGAAACGTCAGCTGAGCATGTCTGAAACGATGCCGCTGTACACACTCTGCAAGGAGGACCTGGAGAGCATGGACCGAGAGGTGAGTCAGACGGGAGATGTGGATTAAGGTCACGTTCACACCAGGGTTTCCGTTAGCCGGTAATTACCGGTTTTTAGCTGGTCAAATTTAATAAAAACCGGTACATTTAAAACCTGTCGGTCAAAATGTCCGATGCTCCGATCGATTGGCCGCCGGTCATTATCGGCCGATATTCACTCTTAATAGTTTGATCTGTGCTCTCAATAAAGGCCGACCAGGAGAGCTGGATCTGATCGATATGGACATAAACGCGAGTGAAGTTTAACCGGATGCAAGAGAGAGAGAGAGAGAGAGATCAGATCAGCGGCTGCATAATCACCTGAAGCCCCGCCCACTGTTTAGTGCCTGCATGAGAAACTCCCACTAACTGAGTTTTCACCATCAGCATATCCGGTCAGAGTCCGGTAATGACCTGCTAACAGAAACTCTGCTACACAACTCTTTTATTATTATTGAAACATGACCGGTAAGTTTCAAATGTGTCCGGTAAAAGAAATTCTGTCTGGACATTTGACCGGCGAGAAAAAATCCACCGCCCGGACCTAACGGAGCCACAGTGGGCTAGCTCCGGGACGCCGGCTAGAGCAAGCCCCCTGCGGCTCCGTTAGCTCCGGCGGCCACCACTGTGATAATTGGGTCCCCTATTAACATTTGCTCCCGTTTAGCATTATGGGCGTCATAGCCATAGACCCAAGGCTGAATCATAAACTAAAATGTATATGTATGCATAAAGGGTTACGTCCTTAGCTGGCTAATAAGTAGCAAGCTAAGCTACCAAGCACACAAACACCTGCGAACAGGGTTAAGATGTATAATATTATAATTTTAGACTTCTTGGAAGTTCTGTTAGTACATTCAAGCGCACAGCACGACATTTTAATTGTCTGGTATTTGTAACAATATTCCCTAAAGGCACAATCACCACGAACACGGCAAAAGGGTCAAGTACAGTAACTACAACTAACTAACGTTGTAGCCTCTATGGTTGTAGCCTAGCAGAGTAGCAGAGTGGACAAGTTGCTGTTAGCTGACACTGAGGCATGTACATGTCCATCAAAGTGACCACGCCCTAATTTATGCAAAAGCTTTAAGGCTTAATATTAATTAAACAGATGAGTTGAGAAAAAATGCACCCCCCACACAGTAGTCATGAAGGGGGAATCTAACTATACAGAGAATATAGTTTTTTGAACAACGATGTAAACATGTTTATTTCTGCTGTAAAGTTGGGCATTTTAACATGGGGGTCTATGGAAATTGCTCCCTTCTGCAGCCTGCTCCTACTGGCCACTAGATGAACTGCAGTGTGTGGCACTTCCTTATTGGCGTCCCGGCTCTTCCCCAGAGTTTGCCGCTTGGTTCACACCAAAAAGCCCCAGGACTAAATTAGTTCATGAGAACCTTTCTTACCCCCTTTTCAGTTGCTGCTAGAGAGCACGGACTTTCGTGGGAGAAAAAGGTTCCTATGTCTGATTGGCTGGGCGGAATGCAAACCACGCCCCGTAAACCTCCAAAAATGTTTTGTGAAGCCGCCATTTTATTATCCTCGCATTAGCATTATTAGCATTAGCCCAGCGCACAAACGTAAACGTATAAAATAAAACATGGGAGTGGTGGAGATGAGGAGGTGTCGGCGTTCAGGCGATTTACTCGGAAGGCTTCAGTAGAAGCTGCTGGGAGTCCCAGCAGCTTCTACTGAAGCCTTCCCCAATTCCAGTAAACCCAAAGCAGAAGAAGAAGAAGTGACGTCAGCGGCTTCATTTGCCTAATCCTCCCCCAGGAACTAATTTCGGTGTGAACGCGATCTGCTTTAGTTCATGAGAACTAAAAGAGATCTCAACCTTTGTGGGAAAAGTACTTGGTGTGAACGCGCCTATTGGTCAGACATTAAGGGGGTAAAAATGCAAATCCCGGCTATTTTTACCGTAGCTTTGGAGCATCGGCAGGTTATTGTTTTAATGCTGCTGTTAATCTGGAGAGCATATCAACAGACTAGTGGCCCGCATAGGATTATACAATCAGACGACGTGCGATAAAAAACATTATAACACATATAATGAGACGTTCTGCAGCTCTGACTTTTATTTTACGACGAGACCAGCACTTTTAGGTTGTTTAGTTCACATCAGAGGTCTCGGACTGTGTTCACACCAACACAACGGCCTGCACTAAGCTGTTAAACGCACCAGGATTCGATTCAACCGGACTATACAAGGCTGGCGTGAATGCGACCTAACTCTCAAAAAAATAAAATGGTTCATTAACCTGTTGAGCCCTGGGCCTATTTTTCGGGGCTCAGGCTCGAAAATAACATTCCCAGAACAAATGACCATATCTTCCCTTCTAAAAGGGGTAAATTAATAATCTTTTTTCTCAAAGCAATGATAAACCTGTGAGTTGGATGTAGAAGAGTCAGAATCAATATAGATGTTTTTATTTTAAAGTAAATTCAGATTGAACACAGTAAAAAAATGTAAATGATAGTGTCCGTCCAAAAAACAACAACATGACTTATCGTGAAAACCACCCTTGAATGATGGGATAGTAGACTAAAAGCTTTAGGAATCCAAACTACAACATATAATAAGTGCCCTGTATCAAGATTGATGCAAAACAAGTACGTGCGTGCGTGCGTGCATGCGTGTTCTCCGTGTGTGGTCAAAAACTGTATGGGCCTTCCGGCGGAACCTCTCACCAACAAGCATAGGTTCCTACCTTTATACCCACAGTTAATTGGCTCCTACAGTGGGTATGACACATTCATAGTTTAAGTGTTAAGAAGCCCTTAATTAAGTGCTAATTCAGAGGCTCGGCATTAGACTTGTTTCGTTAAAAATGGTTCATATCGTCAGGTAGCTGAGTTTCTTCCCGTTAAGTGGGTATGACACATTCATAGTTTGTTAAATGTTAAGATGTTGCGGGGCTTAACAGGTTAAGAGTAAGAACGGGAAGAATGAGTCTATTGCGTATGTAGAGAAGCGGATATTACATGGTGATCAGTGGACAAACGATATATTATATAAAAAAACTCAGCAGGGATTCTGGGTTGGTGTTTTTCGTGGGTTTTATTTCCTTTGCCAGCTCTCAGCGGGATATAAGTGCATCCACCTGCAGAATTACCGCTCTGTCGGAGGGCCGAACTGCAATTTTCCACATTCAAATAACCTTTGAGGATGTCACCGTAAACATCTTGATTTACTGACGCTGTAATGTTCTGCTCCTTTCCACCTCTTCGTTTGGACTTCCTGCTCTACTTCACCTCTGATCTGCTTTCTTTTGCAGACCTGTAATGAAGTATTTATTTCCTAATCAAGCACTTACTTACTGCACACAACAAGTACACTCGTCTCCATCTTCAGCCCTCACCTTCTCACCCTAAACTCACCATCTGCAAAGTTTCTGTGATGTGAAAAATGTGCTGATTATGTACAGTGTTTGCAAACAAACATCAAAAAGGATTATAACACGTAACCTAACAAAGTTACAAAGGGCTTCACATAGCAAACAAAAAACACATTAAATGTTATATAAATTATCATAACTGTAAGAGAATGAAAGCCGAATATAAATCACATCAAGTTTTATTTATATAGCACATTTATAAACGATTTTTGGTGGAGCCAAAGTGCTGAACATATAATAAAAATAGCCTACAGTCGAGACACTTTACAGCAAATACAACAGCACAGATTGTTCAGAATATCAGTGTGAGAAAAACGACACCCTCTGTCCTTAGACCCTCTGTCCTTAGACCCTCTGTACTCAGACCCTCTGTCCTCAGACCCTCTGTCCTTAGACCCTCTATCCTTAGACCCTCTGTCCTCAGACCCTCTGTCCTCAGACCCTCTGTCCTTAGACCCTCTATCCTTAGACCCTCTGTACTCAGACCCTCTGTCCTCAGACCCTCTGTCCTTAGACCCTCTGTCCTTAGACCCTCTGTCCTCAGACCCTCTGTCCTCAGGACCCTCTGTCCTTAGACCCTCTGTCCTCAGACCCTCTGTTCCTTAGGACCCTCTATCCTTAGACCCTCTGTACCTCAGACCCTCTGTCCTCAGACCCTCTGTCCTTAGACCCTCTATCCTTAGACCCTCTGTCCTCAGACCCTCTGTCCTTAGACCCTCTATCCTTAGACCCTCTGTACTCAGACCCCTCTGTCCTCAGCCCCTCTGTCCTTAGACCCTCTATCCTTAGACCCTCTGTCCTCAGACCCTCTGTCCTTAGACCCTCTGTCCTCAGACCCTCTGTCCTTAGACCCTCTATCCTTAGACCCTCTGTCCTCAGACCCTCTGTCCTTAGACTCTCTGTCCTCAGACCCTCTGTCCTCAGACCCTCTGTCCTTAGACCCTCTATCCTTAGACCCTCTGTCCTCAGACCCTCTGTCCTTAGACCCTCTGTCCTCAGACCCTCTGTCCTCAGACCCTCTGTCCTTAGACCCTCTGTCCTTAGACCCTCTGTCCTCAGACCCTCTGTCCTCAGACTCTCTGTCCTTAGACCCTCACATCGTACAAGGAAAGACTTCCAGAGAAAACCCACAGTTGAAAGGGAACATGGGAGAAACCTCAGGGAGAGCAACAGAGGAGGGATCCCTCTCCCAGGACGGACAGACGTGCAATAGATGCCGTGTGTAAATCGAAGAGATAATACATTTTACAGCATAGAGACCGAATGTTAGGAAATGCATGTGTCTGTAATAAGAAGATGAATCCACGAGGATGTCAGCTACAATCCTGTGGAAGCCATCAGGGAAGTAGTTTGATGAGAGTCAGGCAGGACCGCAGAGACAGGTTCAGCCACGACCCGAAGTCCACGACTTAATCCAGAACTCAGGAGAGGATCCAAGACACAGGACTACAGCAAGAGGATCAGCCTCGACTCCGGATCCCGGCGTAGAGATAGATACAAAACAAGAAAAAAGATTTGGCTGGGTTAATCTATAATAAATATAACCTGTAATATAAGCGTATTTTAGACAAGGAATTTATTTAATATTTTATTAATTG